ATATGGTTTCTCCCCAGTGTGAGTCCTTTGATGTACCCTAAGCTGATCACTGCGACTAAAGCTCTTTCCACATTCCATGCATGTATGTGGTTTCTCCCCAGTGTGGATCCTTTGATGTAACCTAAGGTGAACATTCTGACTAAAACTCTTTCCACATTCCATGCATGTATATGGTTTCTCCCCAGTGTGGGCCCTTTGATGTACCCTAAGCTGACCATTCTGACTAAAGCACTTTCCACATTCCATGCATTTATATAGTTTCTCCCCAGTGTGAGTTTTTCGATGTGAACACAGATTTTTTCTCCCGTTGAAACTCTTTTCACATTCCATGTTTTTGTATGATTTCTCCCCAGGTTGAGTTTTTAAACTTAACTAGCGGCACTGGTCTGAAGCTGTCTCCTCTTAAACCCTTTCTCCTCTAGTTCATGGGTTTTTCTAATCTTTTCTTCCCATCTTCACACTTGACTCTTTTCTGGGCTTGAAGAGTGGCTGTGTATAATTCTGGCCATCAAGTTTGTTACCTGATAGAGAAAAAAGAAGATGTCTTGAGAATGTAGCACACAGCATAATCTCCTGAAGGCTTTACTGGCAACGTTTGAAAAATTTGCCATATTGTGAAAATAGCATGAACTTCCCAAAAGGACAGTGATGGGAATATATAGTCGATTAATATTAACCACTATCTGAAATAATATTAATCATCGGTCATCAAGTCAATTCTGACTGATGTCAACCCTTTTTTCGGGGGTTCCTAGAGAATACTCAAAAGTCTTTCCCCATTCCCTGCTTCTGGGACCCTGCAGTTTCCGAAGGCCACAAAGGCTGACCTTACCAGTGGGAACCTCTGGTTCTTCCACCAGATATTTAAACCACTGACCTATCCAGCCAGCTTACTCAGAAATACAAAGAGAGGCTTTGACTAAAATTGAGGTTTTACTGGAAAAGTTCCATGGTTAACTTAAAAATTTCCTCCACTGTAGAGTAATTAATTTAAAGGCACTGCACGTCCATAAATATATTGAAAATGGTGAACCCATGAAAGGAGAAAGGGAAGTAGGATCTTGCCGAAAAGAGGGGGGAAATATTATTAAATGTAGCAGTGAGGGTTTATGGGTTAGGGTTTTTTTTAGGAACATATTTCAAGTTTGAGGATTTGTTATTATTGGGTGTTGCTTTGCTAGGGTATGTCATCAGAGTATGTGACCAAATGGACATGTGATGCTAAAATGGATTAGATTAAAGTATTGATAAATAAAGGATGCTAAAATGGAATAGTTTAAAGTCTTGATAAATAAAGATAAATGTTAATGGATGAAGAGGAAGTTAAGTTAAACCCTACCAAGGATGAAAGAAGGTATAATATTACAATATGAAATAAACTGATAAATAGAACTGACATGCAAGATGTTTGGAGAGAAGTGAAAGGAGATGTAAAGAAGTTTACTTTTTATTCATCATCATATAAAAGTTATTTTCTGATAGATTATATATATTTGCATCTAGTGATTGTGATTTAGAGTTTGTCAGACAGACTTAGGGTTAATATAAGTAGCAGATCACACATTGGTGAATATGGATTTTGAGGGTACATGTGATTATAAAGAAACTAGGAGGTGGAAGTTAGGAATTTTATGCCAAAATATTTCTATGGATCAGTTTACTGATAAATAAATTAAAGTCTTCAACATATTCACATAGGAAAGCTGGAGAAACAAAATGCACGTAAGTCAGCCAAACACCATTTACTGTACTGGGAAAGTTTGAGGCTACAGTAGCCACGGGCAGGCGCCTGTGACTGTAGTGGCTGAGGTCGGCATAAAAGCAGCTCAGGCGGAGCATTCATTGCTGCACCTTGTTTAATGGCGGTCAGGCTGACAGTGGGTTCGTGAGTCATATGTTCTGTACATGCTGTTATGCAGATGTTAAGCTTTTGTTGTTTAGTCATTTAGTCGTGTCCGACTCTTCGTGACCTCATGGACCAGAGCACGCCAGGCCCTCCTGTCTTCTACAGCTTCCAGGAGTTGGGTTCAATTCATGTTGGTCACTACGATGACACTGTCCACCCATCTCATTCTGTTATCGCCTGCTCCTCTTGCCTTCAGACTTTCCTAATATCAGGGTCTTTTCCAGGGAGTCTTCTCATGAGATGGCCAAAGTATTGGAGCCTTAGCTTCAGGATCTGTCCTTCCAGTGAGCACTCGGGGTTGATTTCCTTTTGAATGGATAGGTTTGTTCTCCTTGCAGTCCAGGGGACTCTCAAGAGTCTCTATCAAGGAAAATTACAGGCAGGCCTGAGCAGAATGGAGTATATTAATGAGAATCCATATTGAACAGATGTGTTAAAACTGAGTCAGGATGATTCAGCAGTGTTGATGCAATTCATGGCTCATGCAACTCAGGGATGATGCAACCTGTAATCTGATTGGTTCTGTATTATATACAGTGGTGCCTTGCATAGCGATGTTAATTCGTTCCAAAAAAAACATCGCTATGTGAAACCATCGCTATGCGAAACACCATTTCCCATAGGAATGCATTGAAAACCGGATAATCCGTTCCAATAGGAGTCATTTAACTCTTGAGTACCTCATGAGCCGACTTTTGGGGGAGGCTAGAAAATGACGTGAAAGGCCAGAAAATAAAATGAGACAAGACAGCCCGCAACGAAGGAAACGTGACAGCCCAGAGAGGAGACATGACAGCCCACAGTGAAGGAGAACTGCTTTCGGGAGGGGAGAGCAAGAAAACAAAGCATTTACTGTGAAACGTTGTTTCATGTGTGGCTCTCAGAGACATCTTCAGAAGGACTGTTCAGAAGCCTCCAGCACAAAAAATAAAAATGAGAGAAAAGGGAAGATTTTTCTTGTGCAGGCAGCTGCTGATAAGACCAAGGTCACCACCTGGATCCTGGACAGCGGAGCTGTTTGCCATTTAACTAATGATAGGAAGTTGTTTTCTTTTCTAGGAGCTTCAGAGCACAGCTTCATCAGTTTAGCAAAAGGAGAACGATCTCCTGTGGCTGGAGAAGGACATGTATTTGTGCCAGGTTTGAGAAAAGAACTTAAAAATGTTCTGTTAGTTCCCAAGATTGACTGTAACATATTTAGCATCTCTAAACTTGATAAAGAAGGCTATACAGTGTTGTTTTCTAACAGCACTTGCACAATTAATAAAGGAAATGAGATTTGTGCCACAGCAAAACTAGAAAATAATTTATATGTACTAAAGAGAACAAAGTGGCACAAAATATGGTTACAAATGTACAATTTCATAATCAATTTGCCCACCCATTGCATAGAAGGCTGGGACATGCAAATTTCAGAGTGGTACAGAAAATGGAAAGTGTTGCTAAGGGTCCAAAAGTAAAACCTTGTAAACGGGAGAGGTCTCCCCTCGGCCGCTCCGAAGCGCCCACCCAGAGAATGCCTGCATAGGGGCCGGGGGCCTATGGGGGAAACATCGCTATGCGAGTTTCCTCCATAGACAGCCTCGCTATACGAGGCAGTAATTTTCCCGGCAAAACCCCTCGCTATGCGAATTCCTCGTTAAACAAGGCATTCGCTAAGCGAGGCACCACTGTATAAGTGAGAATTGTACAGTCAGTTGTATCTTCCTGCTTGAAGATCACTTCCACATGTTATGCTGCCAGAATGCTGTAAATACTGCTGTAAATACATGCTGCTGAAGGAAATGCTGCTGGACTGTGCGTGAGTTATTCTTGGACTGCCTAAACTGCGATTTCCACTGCTAAACTGCTGACAGACGGTTATCGGCACAGCACTGCACCCTGCGATACCTGCGTTGTGTCAAGGAAGCCGGTGAGTATCAGTGGGTACCAGAGAGGCAAGAAGGAGTCCAGGGAAGTGAGAGTTCTGCCATATAGAGCCCAAGAAGGGAAGAAAAACGGAGGACCGAGAGAAAAGCAGCAGCATGCAGGTGTTTGGGTGTATGGGAGGTTTTTCCCGTAACCAGACTGAATGAAAATAACTACCAGACATGGTCTGTGAAAGCCGAGATGTTTCTGAGAAGGGAGGAATTGTGGCAGATAGTTAACAATCCCCCTGCTGCCCTAGAAGAAAGGAACAAAGGAAAATTGAGAAAGCTTTATCTACAATAATTCTTTGCCTAGAAGACAGCCAACTGACTCACATAAGTGGACTGACTTCAGCAAAAGAATGTTGGGACACACTGAAACAAATCTATGTCCGTGATTCAGCAGGGAGTAAAGTATCCTTAAAAGAAAGCTGTATAAGGCTAAACTTGAAGAAGGTGAAAGCATGTCCCATCATTTACAAAATATGAAAAACCTGTTAAATGAGCTTCACCAGAGAAATACGGACTTTACAGAGTCACATAAGGCACATATTATTCTGAATAGTCTTCCAGAATGTTATGACGAGCTAGTCATGAGCCTTGAATCTATGCCAGAGAGTCATTTAACTCTTGAGTACCTCATGAGCCGACTTTTGGAGGAGGCTAGAAAATGACGTGAAAGGCCAGAAAATAAAATGAGACAAGACAGCCCGCAACGAAGGAAACGTGACAGCCCAGAGAGGAGACATGACAGCCCACAGTGAAGGAGAACTGCTTTCGGGAGGGGAGAGCAAGAAAACAAAGCATTTACTGTGAAACGTTGTTTCATGTGTGGCTCTCAGAGACATCTTCAGAAGGACTGTTCAGAAGCCTCCAGCACAAAAAATAAAAATGAGAGAAAAGGGAAGATTTTTCTTGTGCAGGCAGCTGCTGATAAGACCAAGGTCACCACCTGGATCCTGGACAGCGGAGCTGTTTGCCATTTAACTAATGATAGGAAGTTGTTTTCTTTTCTAGGAGCTTCAGAGCACAGCTTCATCAGTTTAGCAAAAGGAGAACGATCTCCTGTGGCTGGAGAAGGACATGTATTTGTGCCAGGTTTGAGAAAAGAACTTAAAAATGTTCTGTTAGTTCCCAAGATTGACTGTAACATATTTAGCATCTCTGAACTTGATAAAGAAGGCTATACAGTGTTGTTTTCTAACAGCACTTGCACAATTAATAAAGGAAATGAGATTTGTGCCACAGCAAAACTAGAAAACAATTTATATGTACTAAAGAGAACAAAGTGGCACAAAATATGGTTACAAATGTACAATTTCATAATCAATTTGCCCACCCATTGCATAGAAGGCTGGGACATGCAAATTTCAGAGTGGTACAGAAAATGGAAAGTGTTGCTAAGGGTCCAAAAGTAAAACCTTGTAAAAACTACCTGGACTGTAATATTTGTAAACTGGCAAAATCTCAGATAAGCCCAAAACCAAAACAGCAAACTAATCAAACTCAGAGACCATTTCAGCTGGTTCATGCAGACATAATTGGACCTTTTGGACCCTCTATGGGTGGAGCAAGATATGTGCTAGTCATTGTAGATGACTATACAAGGTACTCTTTCTGCTACTTAATGAAAAACAAATCAGAAGTGTTCAATCATTTCAGAAACTGGTTAGCCTATGTGGAAAAACGTTTTGATAAAAAAGTGGCA